CCCCGATCCATGTAGACATCCATCTCGCAGATTCGGACCCCGAAGGATTCAATTGTCGTCCGGACGACCCTGCAGGCCTCGAACGTCTTGCGGATCCCTTTCAGGCTGGTGGTGTAGATCACCACTCAGTTCTCCCCTTTAGGTGGGTAGAGCCCCTCGAATCCCTCCAGCAAACCCGAACTCGGGGATTCCTTCTGCTGTGGGGGAGGCGGCGGTGGCTTTAAGAAAGCGGCAATAGTTTCCCCAATTGGGTCCTAATGTTGAGCCAGCCAGCTGCGTGAAGCATTCTCCATTGCTCAGCAGATTCGAGGAGACGCAACCCATTGTTTTGTTATCGCAGGGAGAAGAGAGTAGGGAGGGAAAGATTGAGTTGCAGAGATGGAGAAGTTCAATTTGCGCCGGTTAACTTAACTTCTTTTCCTTTTTTCTTGGTGCTGTGTTTCTAGTGTAGACCGGCCCTCGGTGAAGGGTAAGAGCTCTCGAGGAAGGAGAAGGGTTTTGGTGTCTGCAAATGGAAACTGATCAGTTTTGTATTTTTAAGTGGGTTAGGGTTTATTTCTGGGTCGGGTTGGTTTAATGGTTTGGGTTGGGTTTATTACGTGGCGGGTTTAGTGACGTGGCGGGTCGGGTTTGATCATTTCCGGCCCAAAACGGCGCTGACTAGGCGCTCACGTTAGCCACGTCAGCACATAACAGACTTTATTAACAGAGTTGGACGGCAACTAACGGCGAGTGACTAAATGTGTCCTGTTTTAGTAATTATAGTGACCAAATTTGATATTAACTTTTTCTAGTGACTAAACATGTCTCGATTTAGTAATCTTAGTGACCAAATGTGTCTTTAACCCAAAGGAAAAATATCAGAAAGGCCTAGAAAAGTTAGCTACGGGAAAAATGGATTTGGAGTGTATGTTGTGTGGAAAGTTGTAGAAGGTTAATTATTGTGAGTAGTTGTTAGTTGTGATTAAACAAATGAAAAAAAATCAAATCCACAAGTGTATGGCGGTGGATTGAGATGTAATGGCTATAAATAGCCTAGTGTGTAGTTGTGGAAGTGTGCAGAGCAAAAGAAAGTAATAAAAACATCTTTGCCTTCTAATTCTTCTCCATTCCTCCCAAATCCGCCAGTCACCATTTCCAAATATATAAACCAAAAATCATTCACTTCCCAATAAGTGCCCACCAACTATATAAGTAAAGGAAATAATTATATTATTTCCAACAGGGAGGTGGCCGAGTTGAAGAAATACAAAGAAGAATCGCAGAAGAGGGAAGAGATTCTAAGGAGTGAGATCCATGGGCTGAAGAAATACAACGAAGCACTCGACGAGGACCTGAGGGCGCTCAAGGTGAATAAGTATTGGGTTTCCACCCATTTAGGCCCATATCAATCCAAGACATCTTTGGGCTCCTGATTTGGATCACTTTCAATTAGCCCACATAACTAAATAGCTCATATAATTGTAAAATATGTGGCCCATAACATTATAGGAAATAGAATTTCCTAACAATCTCCCACTTGGGCTGCATATTTTCCTTGAAACAATTATATCACAAAATTCTTTAGGCGTGCAACTGTATGCCATTTGTACTTAGACTTCTCTCTTAAACCAATCTGGTCCACCTCATGTATTAATTATGGAACCAACGTGGCTTTAATCACGATATAATAATGACTAAACCAGGCTCTGATACCACTTGTTAGAATTTACTTTATTCTATGTAATTCCCCTGAACACATCTCGTTAGATTATCAAAGGTTAATAGGAATACATGGATACGTGTCGATTGATCGCCAAGAACTTGATGCGGAATCTGAAAGATGATCTGGAACTGGACGATACTCATAGAGCACGATCCAGGAGGTACTGTGACCTTCCTCAACCAAGCCTCCATAGTTCCTTTACGGGAGAGCTCTCGTCTTCCTGATGGGGAGAAGACGAGAATATTTTGGTCTTGGTGTATTGGGGACCACGACCTCAACTCCTTTATATACTAGTCACTGTGGGGTCCCATAAAACCCAAGGTGAATAAGTATTGGGTTTCCACCCATTTAGGCCCATATCAATCCAAGAAATCTTTGGGCTCCTGATTTGGATCACTTTCAATTAGCCCACATAACCAAATAGCTCATATAATTGTAAAATATGTGGCCCATAACATTATAGGAAATAGAATTTCCTAACAATTACAAGTTGTTCGGTGAGTTTCCCCTGTTATTTTTGTATTTTTTTTACAAATCTGACATTAATGTTCTCCTTAATTTATAGGGTCGGCGGCGATCCCACAACCTGGACGCGAGGGAAGAAGATCAACAGAGTGATGGAAGAAGGGTTCGTTTGGTCTAGGTTATTGAGTAGTATGAATTAATGCTTGTTAGGTTATTCTATTGGTCTTTGGGCTAATTAATAGTTATGTGTGTTTACGAGGGTTAATTAGTAGACTGTTGGGAGTTGTTGGGAGTCTCTTGGTATGCCGAGTCGGCTAGAGTAGACTAGGTTGAGTCTGAGTCCAAGTCTTGTGGGTCAGTAGCATTAGTAGGCGGCTAGAGTTATGCTTATTGATTAGGTTTATCGTATTTTGATGTAAGTTCGGCATTAGTTCCGAATCAAGCAATTATTAAACAAAAGGTTAATCGACATTAAAGGTTAAAGAAGACCTCGTAGACTCCTCACCAGAACGACTTGCACGCCTTACTGCCGAAGCGAAACTGAAGAAACCTGTTGCATATCGGCGATATCGCGATGAGGTCAAGATCGTGGATGAAACTTCGCCATCGATCGGGGATCAAGGCGGCGACACCAGAGCCGGCGGCAAGACAGGCGGCGTTACGGTCGGACCGGAGTGGGGGTACATGGTCGGAGCGGGATTCGACGAGGCAGGACGCTACGCGGGAGGACCTCCTCATGTCTCAGCGGATCAGATGGCGGAAGAAGGAGGCGCTGGCTCAAAGAAGCCAGAACGACTTGGAGGGCTAGGGCTACTGGGTCTAGGACCGGGAAGGACGGGATTGGCCCAGTTTTGCATTGGGGACCCTCACACAATGCAACAGCGGGGTGGGCCGAGTGTGGGCCGACCTGGAATGGGCGGAGAGGAATCATTCGCAGCAGGGCTAGGGCGCGGGACCACGGCTGGTGGACCAGGCAGGTGGGCCACACAAGGGCTGGGTTCGGGAAATCCAGCTGGGCCGGGGGACGCAGGCTGGCTAGGCGGTTCGTGGGCCAGGCCGGGAAGGTATCATGGAGGATGGGGCGGAGGGCCATCTAGACCGGGTGGCGGGCCAACAGGCCCGATGAGCGGAGATGGGCCCAATGGAGGATGGGGGAAAGGACCAACAAGTCGAACCGGCAGAGAATGGAATCAAGGGGGTGGATGGTCGAATCGAACTGATGATCGGCCCAGGTATTTTCGGCCCAAACAAGCTCAACTGGAATTTTCAAAATTCAATGGAACCGAAGATCCTTCCGGGTGGTTTGCCTGCGTGGAACAATTCTTCAAATTTCAGGGAACACACGAAGATTACAAGGTTCCTCTAGCGTCTTTTCATCTGGAAGGAGACACAAACCAGTGGTGGCAGTGGCTCGATCGAGCTTACCTGGCGTCTGGCATGGTGATCACGTGGCCACGATTTTATGAAGAGTTGTGGGCATGATTTGGGTCGTCGGAAAGCACCTCCAGTCATGAAGCTTTGGCGAAGTTAAGCAGACCGGATCCCTCGATGACTATCTTTTGACATTTAAGAAATTGGGGAATCGCTTCTATGAATGGCCGGAGGAGGCTCATGTGAGGTCCTTCGTGGGCGGTCTTAAACCAGACATCGCCGACGCTATTCGCATGTTTCGACCAACAACGGTAAGATGCAATTTTCCTTGCTTAGGTGAAAAATTATGAGTTGGTCAAACATCGTGGATTGTCGCGGAATCCTCCAAAGCGGGCAACGATGGAAGCCGAGCCAGAGACAGGAGCGCCGCCGCTCGAACAGGTCTGCCACGCAATCCCAATGCTCGCAGGATGTCACTAGAAGAAGTTGCGCGACGCAGGGCCCAGGGTCTCTATTTTCATTGTGATGAACGCTTCACAATCGGTCATCATTGCCCTAACAAGAATGTGTTGCTTATGATTGGAGTGTGCAACGAGGAAGAGGAGGGTTGGTTCATCCATGAAGATGACCAACATTGAGGGCAAGGTTGCGCTTAAGGGGGGAGGATTGTTACGATACGAGCCATTCATAATAATCTAGGAATTTCTGGGCTCGTCTATTTTAGTAGTTTTATTAATTAGTTAGTATTTCGTATTATTTGGGATTTTATTATTGTTTAATTTTCTTAGTAGGATTGTGATTGTTTTCTAGTATGTTTAGGATTTGGTTATCTTTTCCTTGTAGGAAAGGTTACATGTTCTAGATCGGAGAAGGTAGAGGTTTCGTATGCCTATAAATATGTATCGTATCTTTCGCTTAATAATATGAGAAGACTGAAACCCAAGTAGCTTAGTAGTAGTCTTCAATTCTCTACATTTCTCTTCATTCTAAGTCTATTTCTCTTCGTTCTAAAGCCATTTTCGAGTTCCTTTGTTCGATTCGTGAGAGACACGTTGCGTGGAAGTTATAATTCGGGAAATCCATGTAACACACAATTGGAGAGAATTGAGAGGAAGAAAATGAAAGTGATGAAGTAGAAGTGAAGGAATTGGTTGTATTTATAGAAAATTGGGCAAAAAAAAGTTGTTGAGCTGAAAGAGCCGTTCGGAGAGAGTCGTCGCGTGTGTAACGTGCGTAGACGTCTGGACAGGATTGGTGGAGCACGCGACTGGCGCGCATCCCCCCCCCCGGAAGCGTCTGTTCCCCTCCCCCTGTGGTCCCACGTCCCACCTTCTTTTGGACTTATTTTGTGTTCCAAAATTGAACCCAAATTTAGGACCAATAGGAATTTTTAGTATTGCCTTTGAAACCCCACTAAAATGGTCTTAATCCAATTTGTTGGAATTACAGCCCACCAAGTCTAAAGATGGTCTTACGTTTTGGCACCCTAAAAAAGAAAAACCAAAGGCAAGCCTCGATTCTAGGGAAGCATTTCAGCTATGGTGTGCGTGGCCGTGGACCATTACTTTCCCCCATTTAGCGAATCGTGCGCTTTGCGGATGATGATGGCTTCTGTTGTATCAGGTTCAGGGGGGCCAAGAAAAGGAGCTACGGCAACGAAGAAACGGGCAGAGCAGATTCTCTGGTCGAAAGAGGAGGAGACAACCCCCTGCTACTTCCCTTCCGAACCAGAAACCTTTCTCCGGCGAACTTGGCAGCTTCAGAAAAATGGAGATTTTACGGTAATCATTCTTCTTTCGGCAATGCAGTCGATGTGAAATACAACCTAGTTAAGAATCGGAATTTCTGTCTGCTCAATGCATTTTCCTTTCCTTCTTTTTGGTGAATCTCTTTGCTTCATTTGCTTATGCACGATTTTTCCCCCTCAATGTTCCATCGCCATATTAGGGTTACGTTTTAGTTCAATGCGACCATAATGATAGCCTGCGTTTGTTGCTACTCCTCCAGCTAGCCTCCATGGCCATTTGCCCCAGCTACCATGCTTCTCCGGCCAAGATCTTCAACCAGTTAGACACATTCATCTGATCGAGTTTCTGTCGTATTGGTACATCTGGGGAAGAAAGACTCCCAATCGAGCATTTCATCAAACATCAGGTGTGCACTAGTCACTACAATGTACTATTGCTTTTATACACAATCAGGAAGAGCATGATAGGATCACAATTGAGCAAGAAATCCTCCCCCAGGTGGGGTCAATATTTGTTTCTCAAGGTGAAACATTGTAACTTTCTTATGTACAGATGCAAGATTTTGGGTTCCTGAAAGGATTCAAAAACTTGTACATGTGCTTTCGCATGTCAAAGTACCTATATAAGGAGAAAAAAAAGATGAAAGAAGAGGAGGACGACGATAGCGGAAAGAGCAACAGTCAGAAAAGAAGCAAAAGAAGCACAACTTTCTCAACACGCAAAACCTCCTCAAAAACCTAATCTGGGACTTGATCATAGTCGCCATTTTCAGGCGACCGGTGCCCTCCAAGACCTGTTCTTCCTGAAACCAAACCCCAAAAGATGAACATTTTACATCTCAGTCCCAATTTCTCTCCATCTATCTCACTGGAAACTCTAAGAATTCAACACAAAGGAAGAGTCATCATCAGCACCTGTCAAATCATAACCAGTGCCGCCAGCCCGAGGATCTGGGCCACTCCTCCAATCCAATGCCATGTGGTGCATAGCCGGGCCCCGATTGTGAATCATGAAAGGTGGGCCTCCTCCCATGGTTTGATGGTTGTCATCATTCTCGCGTACTGGATTCCTCCCAGTAGATTCAATTTGGGAAGGGAAGCTCATGCCCGATAAGGATGGTCCCCCACCAACCGGAGATGGCAACTTACCAACAGTAGAAGCAGCATCTATTGGTCTCATATTACTAGTACCACCACCGTCCTTGTAATCAAGAGTGAATGTTCCTACAATTACCTGTGCAGAAAGACTCAACCGTGGTTTTCAAGAAAAATTCTTACAAACACTCAAAAGTAAAGAACCAGCCAGCCAGACAGGCCAGTTAGTTGGTCCTAAGTATAGTGGTTCATATACCTGAACAGCACCAGCAGCAATTAGAGGTCCACAAAGTCCTCCCCCAATAATATGGCCATCGGTTCTAGACAGACACACACTGAGCCCACCAGTTCTACCTCCAGTTTCGGACCTTATATAAGATCCACCCAGTGAAATGATGTCGAACCGACCCTGCAGGAGAGCATCAGGTACAGCATCATCATCTTATGACTCTCCATCAGCAGCTACATCCAGTTTGTGTTAACATCCATCCATCTAAAAAGGTCTAAGTTAACACTTGTAAGAATTTTCCGAGTATTCTAAACAAACATAGACCCCACTTTCGGGCACCACGGCATCGGTGTCTTTTTGCTTTTTCCATTCTCCAGATGTTATAAGATAGGAAAATTAACGAACAAAAGGAACTATGATCACAAGACCAGTTCTTTTCATTTTTTTCCTGCCCCATTGTATCAAATATAGATGATTGTTAAGGACCAAGGATGTTGGATGCTAGGCAAGATAAATTCACGGTTCCACCAGAGTAAATGTTCAAGCCTGAATCTATACTGGGATCCAAAGACACGTTTGACAACCCAAAAAGCAAGAACTATTCCAATTTATATAATGGAATGTTCTGAACATGCGTTGTTCTGCTAAAAGTCAAACTGCCATGTGCTACACTAGCAAGGACAGGCCACAGGTATATGAAAAGGGATTTCAGTCACCCAGATCCCACACTAACCAGTGAACCAACAGAGATCGTGGGAGACAGTTAAAACCCCATGATCTAGCGATGCACTTTGGGCACCCACGCTACTAAACACTATTTTTCTCTCGGCCTGTATTACTATCTTATGGTAAGCAAATCCTTTCAAGGAATCATAACAAGTGGAAATCATAATTCTGAAAAATGTAACTAGAAATCAACATAACCAAGAGGCATAAAAGGTTTGGCTTTATTTGACATTGCCTTCTTCTAACTCTCATAGTTGATGCACATTAAGCTCACATACAGGAGGACATGGATAAAGAGAAGTTCAGAAAAGAACTACAAGGACCACAATGAGATACCTGATAAGTGATGTTGCCTCCTGATGTTGCTGGCTGGCGAATCGATGCACTTGAGATTACACCAGATGCAGACAAAATGCATGTCTCACTCTTACTTTGTTGCATGAACATGTTAATTTTGAGGGCAACATCCTGCAGAATAGATAGATAAACAGAATGAATTTACATTTCTAAGAGAGTAAATATTAGATTTTATCACCGGCTGGCCAAAAGTAGACCACACAAAACGTTGCCATGTACTGCCCTTTGATTATACATATACATTTGGTAATGACCAGGGTACTCCTAGAGTATATCATACTCCCAAGTGATAATGAACATTAGATGTCCATCGTTAAGCTTAAACAACTCAGAATCGTCGATTATTATTTTTTATTAAATTGATATTCGGGTATGGGTATGTGTGTGTGTGTGTGTGTGTGTGTGTGTCATGGAAAAATAAGGCCTCGTGTGACACACAATATGCATAGTACTAATTGGTCTAATGGGAAAAAGCACCAAATTAAGGAAGATAAGTTGATGATAGATTTATCCCCATACACTCCTTACCGTCGACATTTAAAGAAGATTGAATAGATTTTGACAAGTGCAAAATGGATGCACGTATCAATTGATAAGACTAAGACTTAAGAGGATTCACCAACAAGAACCTTAAATGATATAAGGCTCCAATATACATTTGTGCCAAGAACCAACTCATCCCAACGACTCATAACACTCTCGCAAGAGAACCACGTTGATGACAAGTGAAAATCTCAAAATTCTCGGGGAAAAAAAAATCCTTCCCAAGGACAGGCAACTTCCGATGTGTGCGCAATGCATCACTAAATGGAATGAAGAACATATCAATGACAACGGATTACCAACAGTTTTCTAAACAAAAGGTGCATGTATATAAGATGGACCATTTCAAAGTCAAAGGTATGCACTTAAGCACCCAATGGTCAGGAAACAATGAACGAATTGACTAGGCTGGACCAACATATACAAGGGAAGAAAAAATTGCCATTCATTTTTACAAACATACAAAAAAATGTGTGGTCGACTCTCAGTCTAACCGAAATATGAGTCCTCCCAATTTCAAATCTGTGTTATATACTGCTTAAGAAAAGGATTTCAAACTAGCAGATGCTAATGACATGTACAGGACAATTAAATAATATCACTAGAGTACTTCCATACCTCGCCAGCAGCTACAGAAATAATATGGGGAGTAAAACCCAATCCGGTGTTACCTGCATGAATCCATAAGTACAACATCAGCAGCAGCTCCTTATGAGCGACCGCAACAAATATTTCAAAGCACATACTTTACCAAGCCAGGAGATGCAAAAATACTTGCTATTCAGGGATCCAGCCCAAATTCGGCCTAAATTAAGTGAGAAAATTGAAAAATAAGCAACTAACAATCCCTGGGGGTACACAATTCCCTCCAGATCTAGAGGCTAGCCCTATCCTCCCGATAATAATATCCACCACTCCAATCACAAAGCCCTGCAGAGACTGCTGCAACCATCAACTAGCAAGACAAGTCTCCTAATTATGCTCTTATTTACGTGAATTGTTATATTGTCACTAGCAAATAGACACAATTGATACCAAACAAGCTCTACGTTTACATTTTCAAAAGATACTCAACTATTGACTTCGGAAGGTTTTCTTCGCAATGGAATGAACAAAATCAGGATTTGAATGTTAGGAACCCAAGCGAAAGTAGAGGACGTAGTGCGCAAAGAACTAATGTGAAAAAATACATGACCAAAGAGTAAAGTATGAGAGAAGGCTTAAGTTATTGTCGGGCTAAATTTTACTCAAGGGGTCAAAAAGGTGCCAAACTTTCTACATAACCACTTTGATTCGTCAGCATAATCGAGTCTCCTAATTTTGGAATATCAGTGGTTAACAAAGTATAGTCACATAAAGAAGGTCAATGTCTGTCATTCAGGACATTGTGTTCAATCACTAAGGTTGGATGAGTCAAAGACTATCCGGCCTCCTTTTGACCCGCCGCAACAAACACAAAGAGCTTTTTTCTTTGGACAGGTCTCAGAGTGACAAACAACTCTAGACGAAGTTCATACTAACGCTTAGAAAAGGTGAACAGTCCTAAACATTCAATAATGGAATTTAGTTTTATGAAATATATTCGGCATGTGGTAATCAAATCAAAGCAGTAATGGCGGAAAAATGCAAGCTTATAAAATATTAGCTTATAGATCCTGAGATCCTCCAAAATTACATATAACAAAAGAAAACATGAGTTGCCAAAGACAATATACATAGTAACCAGAGCTAAACATCAGCACTACTCAATCAGAGACCGCAGAGCTTCAGCGTAATCAAAGGGAAGGAATCTAGAAACCAGTGCAAGAGAACAAGAATAAAAAAACCTGGGCAAATACCCAAAGCTATGTTTATATACGCAGCTCAAAGATAATGGTCGGTTTAAAAAGAAAAACTCAGCCATGATACATCAAGTCCAAACAAATAAAATTCTCCGTTTACTATCCTACACATTCTTGAAGAGGAAAATACAAAAGCACGCTCTAGCTATTATTAGTCTAATTTTGCTTAAGGTGGCAACAAACTTTTCGGGAAACCTCTTCAGTCCGCCGACATAACCGATTCACCTAAATTGGGAATTTCAAAGGCGTGCAAAGAGTGTGTTCGCGCAAACAAGGTCAACACGAATCTTTATAGACATTATGTTCAGTCATATAGAAGGTTGGATGAGCCGAAGACTATCCGACCTTCAGACCAACCACATCGAACACTCTAGTGATACTTGCTCAGCTGTGCAGAGTTTTTTTTTTTTTTTTTTTTTTTTGCAATATTCAAATTAACAAACAATTCATGCAACAAAATTCATTCAAATCAACAGTACAATCTGGCTGAGTGAAAATATTTGGCATTGTGGTAATCAAATCAAAACAGTGAAAGCACAAAAAATGCTAGCTTACAGAAAATGAGCTTATAAGCCCTCCAAAATGCGAAAAATCGAAAGTGTATATTAACTTCAAGAGAAAAGATAACACAATAGATAATATGTTTCATCGTATTGGAAGCAAACATCAGTAGATAATATGAACTTCATCGTATTCGAAAGAAGGAATCTAGAAACCAATACAGGAAAACAATATAAAGGTTTTCTATGCACAAAAACTTGTTAAAAGAAACACAAAGGTACCTTGTTAAAAGAAACACAAAAACTCGACGATAACACTTCACACCCAAATGAAGCGCGAATTCTACACACTCATGAGGACGAGAACATATTTACCACCCAAATTCGTCAATCCAGCCATAAACAGATTTTACAACAAAATGATCTACCTGAAAAGAGAATGTCCAATCTTTTATTTTGGAAAAGAAAGCAACCAATTGGAAGATCCCCATGAATCCACAGAGATCCAAACAAAGAACTATGCTTGAATCCAGTGCGTCAAGAAACAAAGTGAAAAATCTTTCCAGAACACACAGAGAGAAAGCCGTTACATATGCCGACACAAAGCAATTAAAAGTTTGCAAGCCAACCCGACGAATTCTTGGTTGCATATTTTTCATTATCAGAGAACATTACTCAAAACCAGGAATCCAGGATCCACAAATCCGAAAGGCCGCAAATGATAGAACCCCATCAACCTGGATATATAATCCAGGAACACACGTACAACAAACGAAAACGAACAGATCCCCCACAACAAACTGAACAGAAACACCCACCAAAATCAATTGGAGCAAACCTTGCGCTAGTAGCAAATGAATATAGCTTCAGATTATACTCAGCGAGGAAGTCGCATGAATCCAATACTAAGGGGAAAGTCAATTGAAAAAAGATATAACCCGATTGAGAGAAAGCCAAACGGAAAAAACTGTAATAATCAATAACAAAATAAGACGAGGACAGGACAATAAAGAAATCGAGAAATCGGATGGGGAAGAAAGAGAAACGAACCGGGAGTACCCAAGTGGTGGTAGGACTTCTTGGAGAAGCCAGGATAAGAAGCAGAACCGCCGCCGCCGCTCTCCCTCTTCTCCCTAGCAGCAGAAGAAGCCGCCGCCGTCCTCTTGGCCGCCAAAGCTTGCTCCGGAGTCACGTACTTCCTCGGCCTACCCCTCTTCCTCCTGACCGGATCGACCGGAGCCGCGGACACTGCGGCTGAGGAGGGGCCTATGGAGTGAGGATAGACCATGTGGTGAGCGGAGGCCGAGTCGGAGCCACCGCTGCTGCTGGGCGGGGGAGGGAGGAGACCATTGGTCGGAGAATGAGTGATTGCGCCGCCGCCGCCGGCGTTGGGATTGTTGCCTGTGGGCGGTGCTGAGGAGGAGTAGTAAGATGGAGTGAGAGAGTGATGGTGGTGTTGGTGTTGGTGATGGTGGTGAGGGGTATCGTCTGGTTCCATCTCTCTCTTTTTTCCTTTTTCTTCCAATTTTTCTTTTTTTTTCCCCTGTAGAGAGAGAAAGCTAGAGAGAGAGGGAGAAAAACAGATTTTTAATTTAATTTAATTTTCGCCAAGGAGGGAGATTTCTTTCCTTTCGATAAAGAATTTTTTCTTTCTTTTTATTTGTGTTTTTCGTATATATACGCGAGAAAGGTGAGAGTGCTTTTTTTGTGTTTTATGGTTTTTCCCAAAAAAAGGACGCGAACGTTTCTTAGCCGTTGGATCGGACACGCGTTGGTTCTTCTGACTTCCAGATTTTTTTGTTTGACACGAAAAATAAACGAATTAAATAGCATTTTATATTAAGTTCTGCAAGCTGTTTTTCCATTAATCATCTGTTTTATTTAAACAGAGAAGGTAGAAAATGGTAGTAATTTGTTTTTTGATGGGAATGAAAATATGGAATTAGAAGTAATTTGGGACACGTTAATTGTATTTAATAACTCATATGATTATTATTATATTAGGATTTGGGGTGGCGGAATGAGTGGTAGAGTTGGCAGCAGAAGCAGATTCCGGGGAGAACAAGTGCCCCTTGATTTCTGCCTAAAACTTGGACTTGGAAATTCGATTGAAAATAAAATATTTCTTTTTTACTATTTTTAGTTGGGTCTTATTAATCTCCGTTTAAAGCGCATCATTGAGTAAAACGTGTTTAAATTGTAAAGCACCCTCTCTTTTCTCTCACTCAGCAAATCTGAATTATCTTCCATTAACGAAAAAAGCTGAAATGTAATTTCTTCTTTGATTATTACTGGAATTAAAGAATCATAATTCCAGATAAAAGAAGTTATAGTATTGTAATTAAACTCTTTCCTAAATCCCGGCCGAAAAGAAGTAAAGAACACTTCTTCACAAATTTGTTTCTTTTCCTTTTTCGAAGTTTTATTGGAAGAAAAAAAAGAGAGTAATTGAAGTTGAAATTCTTTTCTGCCAAAAATGTGAGCAAATGAAAATTTCCTTTTCTCGGTAAAACAGTAATTGAAATTCTAATTCAGATGAAGAGGTTGCAATCTGCCACCTATTCAGATAAGGTATTGATGAATCATCACGTATCAAAACAAAAGTTAATTAATACGCTAAATTTAAACTAAATTGTAAGATTGGTCACTTGAATTACTAGTAAATTTCACGTTAGCCACTAGAATTACTTTATTTCATTGGTAGTCACTTAAATTAGGTTAACAGTCCAAGTTTGGTCACTGACCGTTAGTATCCATTAACTTTTGTTGATGTGGCGGTCGGGATGAGTTAGCTTGGTTACTTAATTTTTAGTAATCACAGTAGCTACCTTAATCTACACCATTCATTATTTCTTTTTCACCCTAATTTTAAATTAACGATGAAGATTATATTAGGGTAATTTTGGAATTGAAAAATATACCACACCTGATTACGCTATAAATTAGATCCAAACCCTACCCTATTGCAACCCGCCGCCAACCACCAAGCTCCCTCCCCGTAACCTCCCGTGACCCTCATCCCTCCCGAGAACTTCCTCCACCGTCGGCCGGCCTCCCCTCCACCGCCCTCCTCCCTTCCCCTCCTCTCTTGTAAAGCGGCGGTGTCCGGCGACGGCGACAGCGACGAGACACAACGGAGCTCTCTTCTTCCGGCTCTCGGCTCTGATTCTTGTATCCTTCCTTTCCCATTGCATCCCTTCTCCATTTCTTCCCTCCCACATCCCTCCCACCCTCTAAAGCATTGATTTTGTGCACAAACAGAAACTGAATTAGATTTTGTTTCCAAACTGGAATCCCCAGAAAGGGCGAAGGAGGAGGATTGGGGGGGTTTTTTACCTGAGAGGAAGAGAGTTGGAATCAGCATCTTGAAGAGGAGGAGAAGCGGGAGAAGGCTCTTCCTCGAGAACCGAGTTTGAAGAAGAAGAAGAAGAAGAAGAAAGAGGGAGGAAGGGTTTGGATGAGTTGGGGGTGAAGACGATTTGTCTCGTGAAATCCAGCTCTGCTTCGATCTGCTGATGGCGACAATGCTAAATGGCAAGGAACGAAATGAGATGAAGTTCTATTGGACTATATTTGCTTTTTAATGGCAATTGGAAGGAGGAAGGAGGAATTCCATTGGAATGGTATGTTCTTTTTTAAATGGTAGTATTTTTTTCCGTAGTCATTTTTTTTAAATGGTAGTCATTTTTTTCGTAGTGGTAGTGTTATTGTTGTATTGATATTGTTTTTGTCGCATTGGTATTATTTTTGTCGCATTGGTATTGATTTTGTTACATTGGTATTGATTTTGTCGCATTGGTAGTGATTAAATCTGCAATGGTATTGATGTTTTGTGAAATGGTAGTGTTTTTATTTCTTGAATGGTATTGATGTTTTTTGAAATGGTAGTGTTTTTATTTCTTGAATGGTAGTTTTCGTGTAATGGTATAGATTTATTTCTGCAATGGTAGTTTTCGTGTAATGGTATAGATTTATTTCTGCAATGGTATTGATATTTTTCAAAGTGGTAGTGTTTGTCTAATGGATTGGTACTGATTTCGTTTTTTTTTTTTTTTTGCAGAAAGATTGAGAAAAATATGGAAAGGAAATCTGGCTGGAGATTACGGAAGTGAGAGAAAGAGAGATTTTTAATTAATAGATTTTTGTAACTACCTTAAATGTAATTTATTAAAAAATTAATTAATATAATTTATTTTTCCATACCCAATTTACCCTTAGTAACCACGGTGATTACTACTTTGTAGTAATCACCGTAACCTGTCCCTGTGGCGGTCAACTCTAATAGTTGACCGTTAAATGAGTGACGTGGCAATTAAAAAATTAATAAAAAAATAAAATTTAAATTTTTCTAATTTCCAACTCATTTTTACTCCGCCCATTGACAAAAAAAAAATCAACTTCTTTGCCCTTCCCTTCCTTTCCCTTTCCTCTGGTCATGGACCAACCCATCCATTTTCCCCGCCAGCTCCTTCACCGTCTTCTCGAACTTCCACCGATTCAGCCACTTGAGCAACGACACGAAATCAACCGCATTGGTGGCCCCACCAAGCTCCGCCGCCTCCTTCATTATCTTCGTGAAGTGCCTCGTCACCTTAGCATCAATGTCATCAGCCCCAACGTTTCATGATTAATACCTCAATCATTATATAAATCACAAACCCAACACACATAGAGTTCAAGTCCTACAATCTAACACATCCTAGACTAGGATTCACAACATTCAAGTGAAATAGGATACTACTCCATCGCTAGAAGAGAAAATACACCTAGAATAGAGAAGAAAACCATGGCAAGTTCTTCCTCCTCTTCCTAGATGCTTGATTCAACCCTTGGATAAGAAATCTGCCTCTCTCTAGCCTTGGGTAGGTGAAATTCTCCTTCCTTCCGTCTTAGCTCGTAGGTCTCTCTCTCTAAGCCTTTGAGAAGAAGCCTCATGTACCTCTCTAGAACTCGCATATTTTCAAATCAACTAACTCTCCTTTGTATAATTCCCGAGTGCAAAAATCGCGGTCTCATATTATGCCCATGAAGCCAATATTGAAACCGTGATCTCGGTGCAAAATTCACCATTTCACTAATGAACTTCACGGGTTGCTTGTTGACATCACGATTTGGAGACCGTAATCGTGACAATGTCCCCAAACTGCCCGAACCCCCTCGAAGTGTGCAGACTTCATGGGTTGCTTGTCCACTTCACGGTCCGTGCCCGTGATAATTGCTCCGCAATCGTGATCTTTGCACTTTCAACCGTTTTGCTCCCTTTTCGCCCTCTTTAGTACGACATTCGATCCAGGTGCCAATATTACTTACTAAGGTCTGAAACATGATGAAACACGTAAAACCCATGTAAACTAGCTCCAAGGATGTTGTAACCACATCAAACATCACAAGTCAAGGGATACAAAAGTGTGTAATCTAACTCGAATCATGTGTCGAATTTATTATAAGATAAATTCTTATGTTTTGGAATGTTATATTCAAATCTTTAAGAAATAAATTAAATTGTATTCACAAATCATATGTGGAATCCGCTCATAATTGAATGAAATCAAAAGTTTCTGACTATAAACTTATTAATTTCCCACATGAACAACATTGCTATTACCCATAACAAGTAAAAAGTAAAGAACAACAATCTCCATTGAAAGGAAAAGCAACTTTAAGTAACCATAGGAAAGAGAAAATTTTAAATATATACAGGTGTACCATATACATAAATCCAACCTAATGGGCGATCGACGATGGTTGACGTTGATTATTAGCAGTAGTAGCTTCGAAGCTTAGAAGAAGAATGGAATTAGGACAGTCTCCAAGAAAGCATAAAAAAGAGGGTGTAAGAGTCAAATGATGATTATATATTATTTTAAGTAGTAGTTGAGTGAGAAAGGCTAGGCACGTAAATCTGAAGCATTGGCGCCAAATTATATATAAAGATAATTTACTTCATAAATGAAGATAATTATGTTGTTTTAACATAATTAGTATAATACTTGTGCAATACATTTGAAAATGATATCTCAATTCCACAGAATAGTTAAAACTAGCCTCAATTTTGTAGAATTTTTAAGTATGTTAACACACCAACCTAAAACGTAGCCAAATATTTTGGTCATCGAGACGATAGCCAGACTTCATTTGTGGCACTATTGGGCATGTAATAATTCATTGCATACGTAACTTTGAAAGAGGAGGGATATTACCAAGCTATTTTTTGTCCTTTTGATCCCATTAATCTCTACCATTGGAATATGATGCCAGAATATGGTATCATCCTTGGAAGCAAATCATTCATGCTTGCTTAATGGCCTTAATTTTCCCACTGCCCCTCCCTACTTCTTTGTTGCCTTCTTTCGAGCTCTCAATTCGAGGGTAATCATTTTGGGCATGTATTTGGTTTTGGATTTGGGCACCCACAACTAGATCAAATTGTTGGAGAACGATTTCCAGCAAAGATTTCAGAAAATTCTGGCGAGTTGGAGTTCATGGGTTGTGAACTTCACGCCCATTTTATACAGCCTGAGGGTCAGGATCAGGTTTTGGTGTCAAGATCACGGACTCAGACCGTGATCCTAATATGCAAA